CGTCCGATATCCTTCATGCCTTCTCGTCACGCGACGGGACTCCTGTCTGGTACTTCGATTTTATAGTATTCCGCTACGTGCTCTTGGTCTGGTGCCACGCATGCCCTAGATCATGCGCTTCAGGTAATGTTCCATTCACTTCCTCAGAAAGATAACGAATGAACCTGCGGATTTTAATACACTGAAGCCCCTGCAGCCCATGGGGGGAGCTAAAGCCGTTACCCACATACAAGGTTGCAGGCCATGTTTTTGGCAAGAGATACTGAGTCTCTCTTTCGTTTTCCTTCCCGTCTTATTTAGTAAGTCTCACTCTCACCGAGCGATAAGTCTCGTTTTCCAATTCGTTCAATAGGCTCCTGAAACTTCAATAAAACTCTACGAGGCCACCTAGCCTGAACGTGCGCGGTTCCCAATGATTACGTGACTACTTGAACTCTCCCCTGTGTTCTCTGCCGCGAAAGGCCAGAGCACAGACGATTAGAGAACGGCGCCTGGCTCGGCTCCAAATCCCAAGAAGGAAGGTGAGAGCCTAGGACTAAGCCTTGGAGGGAGGAGGGACTCCGGAGTGGGTGAGCCAATTACATTGTGGCAAAGTTTGAATACATCAGATCACAGTAATCATAAGCCGCTGGTTAAGCGAGAGAGCGCAGGCGAGAGCGTCAAATCGAGGCGGTTTAAAGGGCTGAGTTCAAGTTGTCCGTAGACCGTTCCCATGTGTTATACAGTCAGCCAAACCATATTCTGGCTTATACATATATGTATGTATCTGCCCATATAGTAAGGACAGCGCCTCCGTCCTGGACGAGTGGCGGGTGCATGGCTCATCCCGAAAGGGTGACTGTCGAATTTTACTGTTTCATGCTTTGTTTTCTTGTAGTTTACAGCTTTCTGTATTGCAGATTTGGCAGTGAAATATCTGTGTTCATGAATGTGCTCAGTATTTTGTGGATGCACTGTTCAATGGCGGTGATCCTTGTCGCACACAAACAGCCATCTCAAACACAGATCGAGGTTAGACAGCTCTAGAATTTATTCGGAAACATAATGACATTGAAATGAATGCGAGAGAATATGTCAGTAATAATACTCGACTGGATACCTGAGATTTTTACTGTACTTCAGTTCAAAATGTTCAGAAACTTTTTCGATAAGCTATGTATGTAGCAAATGATTCAATTGAATTTCAATTCGCACATTTTCAGATCAACAATACCGCCCAGTTACTGCTGGCTGAGGACATCTGTCATATTTCGAAAGATGACCAGGTGAGAAATGGGAAAGCAGAATCACAGAGGCAGCGGCAGCGCTGAATTCCCTCGGTAGATCTCGCTTCGGGCTCTTGAAGGGAACTGTAGTATACATAGTGAAAGCTAATAGGCGAAGCCCGTGCTAGGTGTGGTACAAGACAGTCCCTCCAAGGCCCCCAATCTAGGCTACTGTCATCATATGTCTCTCGTCAAAGTTGCATTGAACGGCTCGCCGCTTTCATATGTCATCCAGAAAGGGTAAGAAATCGTAGTGGCATGCGAGTGCGATTGAGTTTTCACAATGGCAAAAGGGGCCAGGCAATGTTTGAGCCCGATTCTTATCCTTCCTAATCAATGAGTCGACTACAAAAAGAAAGAACGGGATTGGTCCGGGCGGGAAAGGTTACTGTACCCTGCACGCGGTATGCCGTGCCACCTACCACCAGTTCAATACCTCCAAGGATATACATAGGTGTTAAGTTGACCACTGAAGAGACTTTGGTCACTGAGAAATCAGTTTTGTGTCTCGCAACGCATCAATAGGACGCTGAGGCATAGAACTTGGAGTTTGGACCTTGCACTTCTCATAGATCCAGTCATGCCCAACGTGATGGAATCCTATCTGCGCGGTATAGAATAACAGGAT